CACACAGACACACCCGCATACAGACACACACACACACACACAGACACACACACACACACACACACACACACACACACACACACACACACACACACACACACACACACACACACACACACACACACACACACACACACACACACACACACACACACACACACACACACACACACACACACACACACACACAGACACACACACACACACACACACAGACACACACACACACAGACACACACACACACAGAAACACATACAGACACACACACACAGACACACACACACACACAGACATACACAGACACACACACACAGACATACACAGACACACGGACATACACATACACAGACACACGGACATACACATACACAGACACACAGACACAGACACAGACACACAGACACAGACACACAGACACAGACACAGACACAGACACAGACACAGACACAGACACACACACACAGACACACACACACACACACACACACACACACACACACACACACACACACACACACACACACACACACACACACACACACACACACACACACACACACACACACACACACACACACACTTTCATCTGTTTTTCTTTCATTTTTAAACTTTCCCATCAACCATACACACTGACTGCTGTTCCTTTGTAGAGCTGGCATACTACTCCTACTTCTACTGCAGTGTTACCAGTGTTACAGAAACTTCTTTCTACAACTGTGCCTAGTAATTAGTATTATTTCACTGGTATTATAATTATATTTCTTATAGGCTTAAGATTGTTATATTTGATGTTTGTGTATCTTTATGTCTTTAGGTTGGAATGTCTTTTGAAACTGATTTTAGATCAGCTATTATATATCAGAATTTAAGATTGTCTTAACACCTGTAGCAGTCACTTGTTCAGATCTGTGCTGTAAGACAATACAAACTTCATAAATACATTTGTTAGAGTGATGACTGCATATACTTGCTACTTATACAGCTTGACATTTATTTTTTGTATTTAGTTCACTTAAAAAAAATGAAAAAGCTTCATTTTTTGTGATTCATGATGTTTACCTTTGCATTGCTTCTCTTTTCTTTTAGCAACATTGCACTGGTGGTGATACTTCTCAGGGCTGGCCTTGGGCTAGACCCTGCTGCACTTAAGGAGTTGAGCTTCATGGTGCTGAGACTTGCTTTCACACCATGTATTGTTGAAACTATAACAGTGGCCACTGTTACACATCTTTTGCTTGGCTTTCCATGGCTTTGGGGGTTAATGCTGGGGTAAGTTTATTTTCCTTTTAGTTTTAGAAATAAATGTGGGAGTGACAGAATAACTATTTGATACTGTTGCCATAGGATTTTTCTCTATACATGTTATGAGTTTTTCTTTTTTACTTCTAGGTTTATATTGTCAGCTGTAACTCCAGCTGTGATTGTCCCCTGCATGATAAAGCTTTCTGAGGAAGGCTATGGCATGGACAAAGGAATCCCAACCCTAGTGATTGCAGCTTCCAGCGTTGATGATGTACTAGCAATTTCTGGTTTTGGAGTCCTTATGGGCATTACCTTTGCAGAAGGTGTGTACTTTGTAGGTTAACACAAAATTTTGCTTGTTGTGTACATGGCCTGAAAATACCCATGTCATACTGGATCTGCAACTGTTGTTGTAAGTGCATACACCTTCAAATTTATTGTATTTAAATAGACTTTGAATGCTCATAAGGCTAGTTTATACTTTGTGATGGGAATAAGTTTGTCAGCAAAGACAACTTGAGCATGCTGGTGTACATGACACAGTTACTTTTAGCCCTTTTACTTTCTGTGGGAAGATTGTAATATTTTTTGTGACTAATAGTATCCATACATCCTGTTAGGTTGACTGAGTACTGTTGCATTGCATTATTCCATCTTTCATATATATAAACACACCTCAGTATATCTGACTTCAGTTTCAAATTTCTAAATCAGTTTCCACCGAATACCCACGGGGAGTGTGTGTAAAACCTCGCCATCATTACTCATGTAGGAGTAGATAGGTAATGTCTATGGAGCTAGTTAGAACCTATTTGCACAGTCCTTTTAGTGAGTCGCATGGCATGGTTGGTTTAGTACTGGCCCTCCGGTGTCATACCCAGAGTGATCTAGGTTCGAGGCCAGGTCAGGGAGGATTTTAATGTATTTGCATATCCTGATATGCATGATATTTGTTTTAACTGCTAGATCAAACCTGTAGTAGCCTGATTATGTACTGTAGAAATCATTTTGATAAATTGTATATAGTATACTGTGTGTACAAGATGGAATGTGGTTTTATTAACCCATTGCCACCGGGGAAAATGAACAAAAAATGGGGAAAATACTGTACTCATTTTTTATATTTTTGTGAAATATCTCTATACATAGATGGCTCTGCTAGTCCTGATTTCACCTTTCCTTGAATTGGCAGGAAAAACAGTATTCTTACTAGTGCTATAAATATAGATGGTGTTATTTTTAACAGCAAATTAGGAT